CTGAGCTGTCAGCACAGAGCCCGATGCAGGGTTCGAACTCACAAACCGTGAGATCATGACCTCAGCCGAAGTTAACAGTCGGATGCTCAACTGAATGAGCTCCCCAGGTACCCCAATGCTATCTCATTTGAACTTCTGAGGGATTCAAGCTATAATGAAAAGTCAACAGATATGTTAAAATTAGTGAGAATTTCCTTTAGCAGTGGAGACAGACATCTGACGTTATTTGGGTGGCCTTGAAGATGACCCACACCCTTTCTGAACAGGGGAGTCTACAGTTGCTGTTGTGGCTTCTGACATATTGGCATGACTATCACCGATGCCACACCATGTCCCCGCGAGACTCAGTTCAGCAGTCTGTGTACCCGGAATGGTTTTCTCTGTGCAGTGCTCCATCATTCTTTAACTACGTATTTACACTGGCATCTGAAACTTCACGTCTTCTTTAAGTTGTTATGGAAGAGAAATCAAAGGCACCGCACGGCTCAGGCTAAGAGGTAGATGTGCGACTTGAAAACATCACGCACGCATTCAAGGGTTAATTTTTCCACTCTCCAAGTTATAACCAACTCACCTTGCAGCTGCTGAAGAAAATAAGGGCTGAATATTTTTGCCATAAAGTTGACCGGATGGCATGCGATGAGTGAACACGAATGGAGAATTTTCAATAACGTTTTGGGTGGAAAATAATTGAAACGAGTGAGTAACAGGTTTTCTAGCTTTCTGAATAAAGCAGAGGCGTTCGGTGGCAAATAATTGAGTTTTCCAAACGGTTCAATTAACTCGGAAACCTGACGAGGTGAAAATTTCTCTGACTGGCCAACAAAAGTTTCCGCCACAGCATCGAAGATGGGTTTTGAAAGAATCTGTTTCCTACCGCAGTACTCCATGACTGTGCTGATGACCTCAGGATCCAAAGTGAGACACAGTGAGGCCACATGTCGCTCCAGGGCTGTTGTAAAAAATCGGTCATTGTGCCCAAAGTATATGAAAGCCTCCAGGACTTTTCTGAGCTCTTCATGAGTAAAATAAGGGATATGCCTCACAGCGTATTTTCCCAATTTTATAACCAGAGGAAGCGCTTGAGTTTGATCAAGAGCCACTAGGGCAGTGAGCATTTGACTCATCAGCGCAGGACTCAAGTTGGAGACGACCGACAGGGAAAAGCTGTTTATCTTGTTTAGAAACACTTGGTGTCGGTCCACTTTTTCAGCACATGCCTGCAGTATTCTATACAGGGCCACAATATCCTCAGGGGCAAATGTTTCCAAATTTTCCCCTTGCAGTTGATATATAATCAGTTCTAGTGTCTCACCGCCTGGACCCTGCAGTCTAATCAGACTTTCCCCAAGGATACAGAGACTGCGGACTTCCAGGCCACCTCTGTTGACACGATGGCGGCTTTCTGCCACCAGGTTTAGTAACAAGTTACTCTGAGGGCCCACGTACAACAGACTCAGAGCTTGCAAAGCAGTCACCAAAGCAGTGTCCGACAGACTCGGGGATTCCTGCTCGAACCGAACGCATAAAGCTTGAAAGACACCATTCTCTAGTATTCCTTTTGGCAGCTTGTGATTGCCACCTTTTTTTTCCACTTCACAGATCCGTTGCAAGGCTCCTGCTGCCAGGCTATCAGGCAAAGGTTGCAGTGTGCCTATAAAACGTAACACGTCTTCTGAGGAATCCAAGTCGTTGAGTCTCCTGTAAAACATCTGTTCATCCAGGCTTTTAGGATTTTGTTCAGGCCCAGCCCAGTCATGTGCTTGAGAGAACACTGGCTCACCAAGTGGATGCAGGGCGTCTCCGTTTTCCGAGTGGAACTTTTTACAACAGGCATGATGGAACCTGACCCTGCAAGGCTCGGGTTGTAGTGAAGGGAACCACGGACACAGACGCCCCTTGACCATCTTGCGAACATGGTTTACGGGGTGATTTTTCAGAGCGGCCAGCGCGCCATGTATCCGAAAATCGGATAAATGGTAAAGGTTCCTCCGCAAGGTAATCAAAGCCATGCCATCAGATTCTCAACTCCTCTTGACTTCTAACTAAAGAAAATAAAGAAAACACGGTCAAACATACTGAGAACGTGACTCGCTCAACAACATGAATGCTTCTGAAACTGAGGATGAGTACTCATAAGAAACGACACACAAAAGTTTCCCACTGAAACACAAGCACCCCGAGATCAGTCGCAGCATCCCACAGCTTAGAAACGTGGCTGGCACCCAAGGATGATAATCGCTATGGTTTCTATGCACTGTTGTGCCCCCTAGTGCTTAGCCCTCACAACAGCTCAATAAATGAAGTACTTCTGGTGTCATTTTATAGACGAGGAAACTGATGCCCTCGGTTTTCTGTCCAGCTTCCAAGCTGGACACAGTAAGTGGCGGTGCTGGGATTCCCCTCGGGCAGTCTAGATCCGAAACACGCCTCCCACATGTTACGTGTTGGGTCGACGGAAGGCACTGCGTTTGGTTAAACTGACTCAAAAGGAGCAACGGGTTAAAATGGCCAAAATTCGTATAGGTCCACGCAAAGCAAAGGTCAAAACCACGTTTAAGAAGCCCTGAGGCGTTGGTTTCTGCTCGGAGTAAAGACCTGGCCAGTGGTAAGGAAGAAAAGGATCTAGCTTGGCAAAGAGGGAAAAAGTAGGATTTAAAAGAAGATAAAGGAGGCGGGCGTGTAAAGGAAGAAGGTGGGCGGTCCGTCCAGATCTAAATACCCCGTGTGAGATTTGGGAACAGGAGTGCGCGCGCCAGAGGGGACGGGGCGCCCCGGGGACCCAGTCCTCCTTGGAATGAAAGGAACCCGCGCGCCGGGCGCCCCAAACCCGACGTCTAGGGACCTTCGATAAAGCACCGGGAGGGAGGCGGCGGCGGCTGGAGAGCAGCGGAGGGGCCCGGGCAGTACTGACAGCTCAGCTATGCCGCGTCCCCATGCACGCCGGTCCGGGACACCTACCACGCTAGGACAGCTACTGCGCTCACACCGCGGGAGGTCGTGCAGCGGCGAGGACCCTGGAGCCTCGTGGGCCTCCGTACGCGCCTTCCCAAGCGCCGGGCAGCGGGCGCATGCGCGGGGACGGAGGCCACGCCCCGCGACCGGAGCGCTGGGACTGGCACAGTTCCTTCCCGAGCTCATTGGTCCCCGGCGCTGACAAGAGTGCGCAGGCGCCCGCTCTCCCCGTGGGTCTCCGGCTGGTCACCCTTAGGTGAGCGCCTGGCGGTGGCTGTTTCCTAAGTGAGCAACCCGTCCTGCTCGAGCCTGGGGGACGCGCCCCAGGGTGGGCAAGGGCAGCGGCTTCTGCGCCCCCACGTCCCTCCCCCGGCCGGCTGGGCGCTCGCGGGTCGGTCAGGAGCTCGGCCCCGCAGGGCAGAGAGCGGAAGGCGGGCTGCCCGGAGGCCGGTGCTCGGGGGACTGCGGCCGCCTTCCGGGAGCCGGCCCCACGTGGCGGCGTTGACCCACGGCGTGGGTCCCTCCCGTGGGCGTTTCTGTTCTCTAGGCTGGGGGCGAGGGGACTCGAGAATGTTTGGAGCACAGCCCCGGGCGGCAGGCGGGGTCTGTCTCCCTTGCTGCTGCTGCGCCTGTGGTTGCCGGGGATCCGCCTCTGAGAAACGCGGGGCCGCGGCACCTGCTTTATAAGTGTTGGTGGACCCGAGAGGTTCATCCTCTGCAGCGCCTGGGGCTGTGCCTGGCCCCTAGGAAGTGATCGAGGGCCCAAGCTATAGTGATAAGCGGTGACAATTTCCATCTCTCTCGCTGCATTCCCACAATTCTCACCGAGTCCAAATGTGTATTATCCTTACAGTACTTATGCGTTCATTCGTTCAATGTATCGAGCACCTGCTCTGTACCAGGCTATGTTCCCTATGGACATTCCATGATTCTAAACAGCCCATGATTCTAGACATATTATCTAACCCAATTCTTTTCATGTCTATCGTGGCTTAATTTATCCTTGGATGTAACTGGTCAGAGGAGCATAAACCTGCTGATGGTTCATTCTGGAAGAGCCAAGACTTGATTTGGTGATATCTGTCCCCACAAGTTAACAATTCCCCAGTTTTAGATACTGGATGAGGCTGTGAGTGTTCCTTGTTTTACTCCTGGTTTTCTTTTCCAGGAAAACATATAAACTATCTTGAGTGGATTGGAAATATTTTCTCTTTGTACATATGTAAGTGTATCTACCTGTGCACCCACATATGTTTGATATTGAATTAAACCATAAAGCAGAGTATGTAGATTAACTTCAGTACTTTGATCAGTTTATTCGGCGTTAGGATCATGTAGGAACAGAATCCTCAACTTTCATTGGAATTTTATTTTTAATTTTTTTTTTTAACGTTTGTTTATTTTTGAGAGAGCACGGCAGAGACAGAGAGGGAGACAGAATCTGAAACGGGCTCCAGGTTCCGAGCCATCAGCACAGAGCCCAGCCTTGGGCACGGTGAGATCGTGACCTGAGCTGAAGTCAGATACTTAACCGACTGAGCCACCTAGGCGACCCTTTACATTTTTTTTAAAAACAAAAATATCTAAGACGTAGTGAACACTGCCGTGTCTCAGCTGTTGTTCAAGTCTTTGCAGCTAGCACGTCTTTGTCAGGTGGGTACAATTGTCCCCATTGTAAGGGTGGGGGAGCTGAGGCACAGATCAGTTGAAAAGCTTGCCTGAAGTTCTCTCGTTTTGAATGATGGACCCTGGATTCAAGCCCACGTAGCCTGACCCCAGAAACTGATTTCCGAGCCTTGAACTTAAAGCTTCACTCGTGGTTAAATGAATTCTCTCTTTTTAAGACTCACTGAGAATTAATGCTAACAGATCTAGAGAAGTCTCTTTCGTATGTGTGGATATTGGTGGAGACTTAAAAAAGATTGTGAGGGAGAATTAATGCCTGTGGTGTACTAGTTAATTAAAAAGAAAATCCCTTTTTTCTGTTTTTGTTCTTTTTTTTTTTCTTTTTTCAGTGTAATTGTTACAGGTGACGCATATGCCTCAAAGTGATGAGGAGGTTTTTGCTGCTCTATGCTACGCAGCAGGGACAGGCAAAGGCCATAGCAGAGGAGATCTGTGAAAAAGCATTTGTGCATGGATTTTCTGCAGATCTTCACTGTATCAGTGAGTCAGATAAGGTAAGTGGTTTCTCATGTGGTTTTTATCGTGTGTTTTGTGCCTGCAGTATTTTGGTTGGAAGGGAATGTTAAACAGCAAAGCAAGGTGCTGAATGCCACCATAATCCTTTTCTCCCTCACCACATTCAGAAATTTATTTTATCAACCGTGTTGTAAGATTTCTGCCATTTTTTTTAAGCATATAAGTGTATGTTTGAATTAGACTAAACTGTCCCCCAAATCGAAGCAAGTAACTATTAACCGTAAGCAGAAGTCGTAATGCTTGCCTTGGTTTTCTTGGTTCTTGGGGTGGCTTTGCCAACAAATGAGACGTGTTTGCGTGCACGTGTGTGCTTTCCAACTCACAAATCCCATGTCTCAAAATAAAGACTTGGCATTCATGTCAGAGTTCCTGCAAATGAAGGGCCATGGAATTTTTTTCAAGTTTATTTATTTTTGGGAAAGAGCAAGTCATGGGCTCGTGCACAAAGCCAGTGGCGGTGGGGAGGTGTGTGGAGCGGGGGAGGGCAGAGAGAGAGACAGAGACACAGAATCCGAAGCAGCTCCAGGCTTCGAGCTGTCAGCGCAGAGCCTCTGCGGGACTCGAACTCACTAACAGCGAGATCATGATCTGAGCTGAAGTTGGATGCTCAACCGACTGAGCCGCCCAGGCGCCCCAAGGACCATATAATTGTTCTGTGGAATAAAATTTAAAGTCGAAGTGGAAGGATCTAGAGAAGATTTGGCTTCTTTAGGTCAAGGACTGCTTATTTTTACGTTCAGTCTCTCCAGAAGTTCATACTTTAGGTTATGTGAGATCATAACACACGTATATTCTTCTCTCAGTTTGTGGGATTGAGTCCTGCAGTTTTCCTGTTTTATACAGTCCGGTTCATAGCAACTAACAGCTTTTTATACCAGCACAAGATGATGTACCAGCCACTCATGAGTCAAATTTAGCTTAGTATTTTAAAAGTTACCCTGCCGGTACACTCAAGTTCATAAGCTCCTCTGTCCTTTCCCACGTCTCTGGTTCAGAAGACTAGACTGTCGGCAGCACACTTGAATTATAAACTCTGCTCATAGGAGAGCCACCTGGTTCCTTCATGTGTGAGGGCCAAGGTGAGCCAGCAGGGAGCATCCTGGAGGACACCGCCAATCAGCAGGTTCTGTAATCCTGTGGTTACTTCAGAGTTGGTGTAGCGGATGCCACATGATAGAATAGGAACAAAAACAGAGTTGTCCGCACCGTGTAACTGGCCCGGATTTGGCCCCTAGGGTCGCCTCACCACCCAAATCAGCGGCTACTTGAAAATTCAGTGAGTGTTTTAGTGCCTTGTTAGTCACGTGTGCGGTCCCAGCTGATTGACTTCTCCAGCTGTTCCTGATCCAAGTTCAAACAGATAGCTTTGTACTTCCTAGGTCGTGGTCGTCCTTTTCAAGGTGGAGTTACTTTAACAGACTGTAGGTTTAATACACAATTTGTGCCGCATCCTGTAAGCATTGAATCACCTGGAAAAACGTTAGCTCAGATCCTTGTGTCCGCCTGAGAAATAAGTGAATTCCTCAGAAGCAGCTTGGATCCGCATGCTCAGTAGAGCTCTGGAGTCATGATAGAGATGGTGAAGTGCTCTTCTTGGAATATTTAAATTTAGGTGAGAATTAGGATGAAGAAACCTGATCTGTAAGACACGGAAACGCAGATGATCTTGGCTTACCACTGATGCTATCCCCAGCCCCCCGGAGCCCTGAGGGAGTGAGGACTTAGCCAGGCTCCCTGGTGTCTGAGGAGTGGGATGTGCACCTTCCCAGAGTGACCACGCTCCGCACCCTCTCTGCCCATTAAACAACGCGCAGTACAGGTGACCGGTTCAGGATAGAGACTAAGCCAGTTGCGTGGCCGATGCGTTAAGTCGAAACTACATACAGCTGTAGATCCCTGACGTGCCTGCTTGTCTTCTAGTACGATCTGAAAACTGAAACGGCGCCTCTCGTCGTCGTCGTTTCTACGACGGGCACAGGAGACCCACCCGACACCGCTCGCAAGTTCGTCAAGAAAATCCAGGACAAGGCGCTGCCAGTGGATTTCTTTGCTCACCTGCGGTATGGATTGCTGGGTACGGACTGTATTTTGGTTCTGACTCTCCTCAGTTATTACAGGTTTGACTTCTGGTATCTGAGTGTATCCTTCAGAACCATGGTGTGTAGCTGTAGAGGTCTTGTTTTTGTTTGTTTTTTATAGAAATGTGTAAAACACGTACGTGTAAATACTGTGCTGTGTTCTGCAAATGAGTCCCCTGGCTTCACCCCACAGCAGCACCTCTCTGGGGCCAGGGGACATTTTCTGACTATCAGCGGCTAGTCTCCATCCCAAACTTGGTTAAAAATAAAAGGAATCCCTGAAGGAGCAACTTTAAATGCTGTTTTATTGTTTTTTGTGTGTTTTTTTGTTTTTTTTTAAAAACAGGCTCCCAGGTCGATCTGATTTCCCTAGGAGTCACTCCCTTAGTATGATTTCTAATCTCGGCCACATATTAGGACCAGCGAGGGGAGTTTTCCTTGAAATCTGTTACCCGGGCCCATCTCCAGTGACTCTAACTTAATTGCTTGGAGGTGGGGCCCTGGCATCAGTGGTTTTTAAAAGCTCCCAGGTGATTCTAATATGTATCCCAGGTTGGGAAACACTGGCATCTAAGTTTCTGTGAAGTATAGGTTAAAAAACTAAGATAAAGGAGCAGAAAGACCAGCTCAGCAAGATAGGACACCAGAGAGAGAATTCAGAGCCCATATTCCTGGCTTGTGATCTGTATTGTTCTTTGAATGCTCTTTGAGAATTATTTTGGGGAGGGTATCTGGTAAGGATGGATTATGCTAAGTGACTGATCAGAAATTTGAGGTTATGACGCTGACTAGGTTCTGTCTTATAGAACTTATTCAAATAAGAGGGGGGGTTAGAGTACTTACATGTTTTTATTCAAGTTTTTCTGATTTCTTTTCAAGAATGAACACATGTTGCTTTAAAAAAATTCCTTGAAAAATAGTATAGAGTGAAGCCCATCCCAACCTTTCCGGTCATTCTTAGTCCGTTTATTCCCCCCTCCCTCCAAAAGCTCCCATGTTCTTGTTGGGAAGGTACATGGAGATGATTAAGTGAGAAATTGACCATTTTAATTTTAAATTTTTAACCAAGTATGAAAATGTTAGTCCATTTTCTTACCAGGAGACACAGAAGCAGTTCCTAATTCGCCTCACACAGAAACATGGCAAGTGATTATATATTACCTGTCTCTGCTCTAGATTAGGGGTCAGTAAAATCAGTAAAGGACCAGCTGCTAAATATTTTGGGCTTTGTGGACCATGTGTTCTTTATTTTTTAAAAAATTTTTTTTTTCAACGTTTATTTATTTTTGGGACAGAGAGAGACAGAGCACGAACGGGGGAGGGGCAGAGAGAGAGGGAGACACAGAATCGGAAACAGGCTCCAGGCTCTGAGCCATCAGCCCAGAGCCCGACGCGGGGCTCGAACTCACGGACCACGAGATCGTGACCTGGCCGAAGTCGGACGCCTAACCGACTGCGCCACCCAGGCGCCCCGACCATGTGTTCTTTATAACAACTACTTCCCTCTGCTGTTGTGGCTTGATAGCTGCCATGAACACTACGTGCACAGATGGACTTGGCTGTGTTCCAGCACTTTATGTGAAGAAAGACAGCGAACGGTATTTATTTGGCTCACAGGCTGCAGTTTGCAGACCTCTCACTAGATCAGAAAAATCTGCAAAGACAGATGTTATGGTTTTTTTTTTAACGTATCTAATTCTCGTTTTAAGGTTTCCTTCCACATTAAAATTTTTTTTTTTAATGTTTATTTTTGAGAGAGACAGAGAGCAGGGGAGGGACAGAGAGGGAGGGAGACACAGAATCCAAAGTAGGCTCCAGGCTCTGAGCTGTCAACATGGAGCCTGACCCTGGGCTCGAACCCATGAATCATGAGATCATGACTAGAGCCAAAGTCGGACACTCAACCGACTGAGCCACCCAGGCGCCCCTAAGGTTTCCACATTTTTACAGATTCGCGTAAACAAACATGAACATATTTTTGTTAACAGCGGCCAAGAAGTACTTGTTTGTGTTTCGATGCATCTGATACTTTAACATGGTAAGATAGAAGACGATCGTTTGCATGCTTAGTATTACTCAAGGAAAACCTCAGAAAACGTGAAGCTATACGTTATGTATTCGTTAATCAGCATGTAGAATGTTGTTTTAAATACTCTATGTATTTGTTCTGTGTACCTTCTTTAAATCTTACGGTGCACTAACAACCCGTTTGGGCTCCTAGGGCTGGGCGATTCAGAATACACATACTTCTGTAATGGCGGGAAAATCATCGATAAGCGACTTCAGGAACTCGGTGCCCAGCATTTCTACGCCACTGGACACGCAGATGACTGCGTGGGGTAAGGACAGACTGTGCGGTTTCCGCTCAGCCCCTGCTGGTACTTGATGAAAGTCTGTGAGGTTCTAAAATGTGATGACTTTTGATTTAGCACTGAAGCTTTTATTTTGAAAGTGGTATTTTCATTTTCTTAGCTTTTTTAGCTCTAGGGCCAGAGATCAGCCGGAGCTTGATGTACTTATTCTGTTGACTTTAAGTGCCTCACTCATCTCAGTAGCTGCTACCGGAAGAAATTTGAAAAACCGCCCCAGTACCGTTATCTTTATCTTGAAGCGTGTAGGTCTTTGTGAAAGTCCACATTTTTTTTTCAGGAACTTTGATAGCACGTGCGCTTGCTTCTCTGCCGCGCGCACGGGGGTGACTGCGTGCAGGTCCTCACGTGGAGGGCGCCCGGCAGGCCACGCGTCACCAACAGAGAACACAGACCAGAGGCCTTCCCGGCACTCTGGGTGCCTAGGCTCTTTCCCTCGCCATCTTAACGGCCATTTGCCACCATGCCGGCCAGAAATAGAATTCCTGCTTCCATTAGATTATTCTCGTTTTTACAGTTCAGTATTTCACTGCATGTGCGGCCTCTCAAATCCTCTTCATGTGTCTGTTCAAAGGTCTTCTAGATGTCGTGCTCCGCCTTAGTTTATCACTTAGCCTTTGGCCGTTTTAGCCAGATTACAGCATACCCGCTTGCTTTTTCCTACTCGGTGCGTGTATTAAATTCATACTCACTTGGTTTTTCTTTATGAATAATGACAAAGTCAGCAAATGTCTTGCTTTTCTGCATAGCGCCACCTCGCACGAGTGTGGCTCCACGTAACCCACCCTTCGGGTCCGCTCCCTCCATCATTTCCTGCAGCTGCGATGCTGTGGACGCTTCCAGATCTCAGCACGCACGTTCTTAGTTGTGACAGAGCTCGACCGTGTTGCCTTGTGTCTTCACCTTTTAGTTTTGTTCCTTTATATTGGTTTTTTTTTTTTGGTGGGTTTTTTGTCAGAATCCTGTTACCTCCCATTGTTTGTCTCATAAGAGCCGTTTACTTGCTAACTTCTTCTAGAACCCATTGGGCCTTTCCCTGAGCCCATATTTTACGTCTTGTCAGGGGCATTGTTTCCCTGTGCATTTACTGGATGGAATGTTAAAATTCTTGGGGCGCCTGGGTGGCTCGGTCGGTTGAGCGTCCGACTTCGGCTCAGGTCATGATCTCACGGTCCGTGAGTTCGAGCCACGCATCGGGCTCTGTGCTGACCACTCAGAGCCTGGAGCCTGTTTCAGATTCTGTGTCTCCCTCTCTCTCTGCCCCTCCCCTGTTAATGCTCTGTCTCTCTCTGTCTCAAAAATAAATAAACGTTAAAAAAAAAAATAAAATTCTTAAGCGTATTAACCTGCATCTCTGAAACATTTAACCTAACCACCTTATTTGAACTTACCCTCGTCTAAAATTGTTTTCAAGAAGATATCCTGGCTTAGTGTACCCGTCACCACATTGATGGGTTCAGGATGCAGCGTGGGGTCCAAATCCCTGCGTCCAGATCCGGAACTATCCACCGCCTCTAGTGACCGTGAAACTTTGGTCGCGTTACTTCCCCCTCTCGTGCTACCATCTCTCCCTGTGTGAACTAGAGAATAATAGTGTGTGTTGTGGGGAGTTTTGGGGAGGACTGGATGAACTGACACAGGCTGTCCTCTTAGAAGAATGTCTGCCACGTAGTCAGTACTCCACAGACATTAGCTCTCCTGCGACGGTGTCATCGTCTCAATATCTCTGAGCCTTGAGAATGGCGTGTTCGACGGAGCGGCCGTCGTGGAACTCAGAGTTTTGGGTACTTGCTTTGCCAAAGGCTCGGAGGGGTGGATGTGGAGCGTGGAACCAAGTTTTGAGCTGTGAGCACCTAGTGAATCTAACGAGCTTATAGCCAGAGTCCTATGAAGACAGAGGCCTGGAATGTGCCTTCGCCTGCCATTTAACTTTATGAATTAGAATTTATTTGATATGTCCTTTGAGTTGTGACTAAAAATGAGAAGGAGGTTATTTCCAAGGTTCCGATCCACAAGTTTCTCAGTTCAGGAAATATATGAGATGTTACCATGGGCCTACCCTACTTTGTTTATTGGCAAATACACTACCACATTTTAAGACCTACCTATGATTCACTCAACTTTCCTAAAGGATTATTAGTTTTTTCCTTTATGTTCAGACTTGCTGCAGATTTTATCAAAAATATCCAGAACCGGTTGAAGATTTGAACTATTTATATTTAGTCAAAATAGCATTAATCTGGAGTGATTTCGTGGTAATATTCTAATCTCTAGGGGGAAAAAAAGGTCAGTAAATTAGGTGAAAAAGTGAAGTCGCATTTGAGCTATGTAATTGTCATGTGATATTAGAGTGGACTTGGATTTGGGGGGAGTTCTGTTAGCCTCGGAATTTAGCATGCCTGTTTAAAATCACAGCTGCTTAAAATAAAGATCGCCAACTATATTTTAGAAAGTTAAGAGCAATCCCATTCCTCTTACCTATTACTAAAATGGCTTCATTTCCATTCTGACATTGTTTGTGGCTGAAGTGCCGACGAACACAAAATGGTGTTTTTAACTCGATCTCAAGTGTATATTGTATTCCGAATCATTGTTATGTCTAGTGTTTTTGACCGCTTCATAGTGCTCAGCCAAATAGACTGCAGTTGCCCTAGTATTGCACATTTAAGTGGAGAACTTAGGCCTTTTTGTATTTTTTCCTTTTTTGTTACCACAATCCAGTTTAGAACTTGTGGTTGAGCCCTGGATTGACGGACTCTGGGCTGCCCTCACGAAGCATTTTACGTCCACTAGAGGAAAAGAGGAGATAAACGGAGCTCTCCAGATAGCATCGACTGCCTCCCAGAGGATGGATCCTGTGAAACCAGAATTATTGCACATTGAATCACGAGTTGAACTTCTGAGATTAGCCGACTCAGGCAGAAGGGATTCTGAGGTTCAGGAACAGAATGCAGTGAACAGAGATCAATCGAGTGCTCTGATAGCAGAGTCTGAGCCCTCACTCACCCACTCGGTTCCCCCACTGTCACAGGCCTCTCTGAACATCCCTGCCCTTCCACCAGAATATTTGCAGGTGCATCTGCACGAGTTTCTCAGCCAGGTAAGTGGCTTTACTTTATTCCTCGTGCTGTAGAATGTTAACTCACCAGGGGGTTTGTTTTGTTGTTGTTACATGACAACAGAGGGCAGCAAACTGGTCCACCACCTATCCCGGAGATAAAGCTTTGTTGGAACATGGGCCTGCCCGTCCATTCCCATGTGGTCTGCGGCTGCTTCTGTGCTACAGGGTTACGTGGTTACCGAGGCCTGAGAAGCCCAGCCCCTTTCTGGGAAAGTTTGTGTGTTGCAGAAGCGTTTGTGTTATTCCATTACCTCTGTGGTTGAAGCAGCAAATGGTTAAGAGCTCGGTTTCTCTGTTATTTTGGAGAATTCTTTGTTGCGGGTACTCAGGAAATTACATTAGCAGCTAAACTTAAAGCACTTCTTTATAGTAAAATTCCATTTCATTCCAGCATGGCTTTTTTTTCATTCCATTCCATTCCATTTCATTTCCAGCATGGCTTTTTGGTGTCTTGGGATGCTCCGTTTGGGGGATTAATTTTCTTGGCAACATCTTATAAACTTGTTTTCGCCTATATTAAGTCACTTTCTTTTGTCAAGTGTATTTTTTGTACCAATAAGGAAGTGAGTTTAAAGTAGTCTGTAAATCTGGGGGCACCTGGGTGGCTTGGTCAGTTGGGCGTCTGACTCTTGATTTCTGCACAGGTCTTGATCTCATGGTTTGCGAGATCGAGCCCCACATGGGGCTCTGTGCTGAGAGCGTGGAGCCTGCTTGGGATTCTCTATCTCCCTCTCTCTCTCTCTCTGCTCCTCCCCTGCTTATGCACACATGCTCCCTTGCTCCATCTCTCAGTATAAATAAATGAACTTAAAAAAAGTCTGTACATTTTGAGCATTAAGTTGGATAATATCTCATTTCTCGTCACTACTCTTTGGACATGCCTGGTACACATCTCCATTGAAAGCCAGTCTTTTGGGGCAGAGCCACACTCTGTCTTTAGAGTGGCTGACTGTGGAGTTGGTGCCGGCTTTCTCATGGAAACCACACCCTCATGCAGCCATCCTGATTTCTTGTTTCTTGATTTTTTATTTCAATTTTTTTGGGGGGTGGGAGGGGAGAGCATGCGTGGGGCAGAGAGGCAGAGGGAGAGGGAGAGAAAAAGATCTTAAGTTGGCTCCACACCCAGTGCAGACCCAGACATAGGGCTCAGGACTTGATCTCATGACCCTGAGATCGTGGCCTGAGCCTAAATCAAGTCGGACGCTTAACCAACAGCCACCCAGGCGCCCCTCGATTCCTTATTTTTAATGAAGCAATTTAAATACGACTTTCTGGTATATTAGAACTGTTTTCTGACACCTGATATGATGGTGGTTTTTTAACGTTTATAGCATCTCTCTGAAGCATCCAGATAAACAAGTCTTCATACATAAACAACTATTGGGTATCATTCCGCTTGATAATCGCGTGAATTGTTGACGGAGGTGATGACAGTAGGTACACGTTTCTCAGGTCTGGGAACCGACACGAGCCCCTCTAACGAACCTGGCGCACAAGTGGGTCCAGGGCCCCTGTTGCACGCTGTGGGGACGGATGCACGTGGCAGAGGCGTGTGTGAACGTGATTGCCTGACCGGGCGCTTGAGGAGGATCTAAGGAGGTGTCTGTTACAGGAAGTGTCATTAAATAAGCGTCAGTTGCTGGGGGTGTGGTTGAAAGGCTTAAAATCTCAACCGGTTAAGGGATATTTGTGTACATTGCCCAAAGGATATGCTTAGAGGATAAGGGCTTGGACAGAGATTTATTTTAGGCCATCCTCTTGGGGTTGTCACGTTAGGGAAGGGGAGAGGAGGGGAGGAGCCCTGGGAGAGCAGCCAGTCCCGCTCCACAGCACCTGTGCCCTTCCTGGGGGCTCTTGGGCTGTGGGGCCTCTGGGCTGTGGGACCGGCCATGGGACCCCTTAGCCCCCGTCACTCGGACCCCGCATGGCTGCTACCTGGTGTGTCGCCTGGTGTTGGGGTCGGAGCGGCCATCCTAGGATCCCAGGTGTGGAAGGTGCAGGCCTGCCCCAGGCTGTCCCGCTTCTCCCAGGTGAGGTGACGGACAGGACACAGGGTGTGTCCTCTGCTGGGAGGCGCAGGCCTGCCCCAGGCTGTCGGGCTCCCGGAGGTTGTACCGAGAGCGCTGGCCCCTCGGTCCTCACAGGGCGTGGGTCTTCCCTGGGATGCTCGCACACCAGCCACATGTCCCCCCATTGGGTCTGGTGGGCACCGTGGCACTGACGGGCTCGTGTGCCGTGCTGCAAGTCCAGATGTCCCGCCGTGAGCCGGATTGCCGTAACAGCCGGCCGGAGCGTTGCCACGGTCTATTCCACGTGGAAGCGTGTGGTCTTCTTTAGGGAGAGACGTGGAGAAGAGCAGACTGGCTAAGTCTGTGTCCACGCGCCGTGCGCCTGAGGCCGTGTGGATCTGATCTCTCAGAGGAAGCCATCCTGCGCGGAGGCTGAGCTGGGGCTTCCCGCTTGTTTGTGTTTCTTGTGGTTCCTCGTCGTCCTCCCCGAGGGTCCGCCTGGTCGTTGCAGGGCCCAGGTTGGCGAAGTGGATGGAGACCGTCCCTGGTCCTGTCGACTTTTAGGGATGGTATCTGTGCCTGCAGTTCCTCTCAGGATGCTGGATGTTTCCCTTTGTACCTCGTGGGGGGAGAAGGCCACGTCAAACTCACAGGCTTCCTCGTGGCCTTCCCACCACATAGCCCTGAGCCCCCCAGGGGGGGATGCCCTAGTGGGGGCGTGGGCGTGGCTTGCAGGGCAGAGGACTCACGCAGCAGGGAGTTCTTGCTCTCTGTAGGAAGAAGTAGCCACTTCTGCAGACTCAGCAGGTTCAAGGGAATCTAGGGATTCAAGATTTTGAAGCCTCACGTCCCCCTGTCAGCTGCCAGGAGGCCATTCTTTCCCTATCAGAGACAGGCCTCAGCCTTCTGTCCCGAGGCAAGAGACAGCAGCTTCTTTGGATGCCGTGGAGGATGTTCTCTGGCTTCCGTGTTTAGTTTTTAAGTGTTTTCTCAGCTTTTGCGTTTTTTTCCAGAGGTGTCAATGAAGTTTAGTAAAACCCACAACTCTACTGGCCGTATCAGTGCTATTTCCCCCTAGATCTCCAGCACCAGCTACTGTCCAGTGCATTCCCTTTCATGGTGCGCCCTCCCACTTAGCTCCCGCCTTGCCGCCTTGTGCTCTGTCTCCCCTCTGCCACCGGTGTCGTGTGCTGTTGTCAGCCAGGTGGGTGATCCAGCTCCAAACTCCCGTTTTAGCATCTTGAAGCCACTCTAACACCGGCTGTCACAGACTCGGTTCCTGTAAATCGAACTACGTGATTATTTTTAGGGTATCCCCTTGAGATCCTCACCTCGGGGAGAGGGGGGGCAGAAGCAGGAGTGGGCACGGTGAGAAGTGGGCTGCGAGGCGTTCCAGCAAAGGCCCCAGCCGATCTCACGGGGTTCTCCGGAGCTGGGATGGCCCTTCAGAGTTGGCCAGAGTTGGGGCAAAGGGACTGGGCCTTTATGGTCATCAGCTAGTCATTGTGTATGGGCTGCCTCTGAAAGGAGGCATGACCGGGGTCCCAGATGACCACGAGCCAGCTGAGGGCCGTCTGCTGACAGTGCTCCCAGCAGCCCTGCTGAAGGCTGTCTCTGGCGGGGGGCTTCTCCCGGTAGCCCTATGTCATGACTGTCAGGCTCTGAGCTCTGACGCTTTTCCCAGTTTTCCCATCTAGCCGTGTATCCAGTGTTAACTGACTAGCGTTTTGTAAGTTTCTGTCTTCAAAAGAGCTGAGGAGCATCAAGGTAGGAAAGGGGTGGAAATAGTGCAACCAATTGGATTTCTTTGTGGTTTCCCAAGACCTGGGCTCGCTAATACGGGAGCCACTGGCCATGGGTGGCCACTTAAAGTTAAATAAATGAAAGTAAGAGCTGTTTGTTAGGCACATGCGTCCGGTGGCTCCTGTGCTGACCAGGGCGGGTGCGGAACATTCCCGTCATCAGTGCCCAGCAGGCTGAAGGTTCTCAGGAACATCTCTGCAGGCGTCTTCCAGCCTTAAACCTCTGTCTTTTCCTTTACAGTCTCCCTCCTGAAATAATGCATGCACGCTGCCTCCTTTTGCACAGTTTACTTGGAAGACTGTTAGATCTTTACACGAAAATGCTGGTGCCTGATGTTTTCAATATATATCCCAGAAATGTACCTAATAACCAAGGCATTTAAGATCTGGATGAGCTATCTCTTCTGAAAGATTGAGAGGCATGTGTCTATAGCCGTTTGCCTTAGAAACAAATTCTTCAAGAGCTAGGATGTTTTCTAAGACCCTATAGATCTTACCTAGTCACTAAGTGAAGCAATGGTGAGTAAAATTGGAAATCGCATTTAGTGATATTTTATCACATTTGTCTCTCGAGGAGGAAAGCCGAGCATCTGTGACTCCCGTGGATCCAGTTTTTCAAGTTCCAATTTCAAAGGCAGTTCAGCTGACTACGAACGATGCCATCAAAACCACTCTCCTGGTGGAATTGGACATTTCAGTAAGTTCCAGAAGCTGTTTCTGAGCCCCGTGTGCTGTCGAGGGGCTGCTGGGGTCCCCACGCTTGGGAAGGAGGATGGTCTCTGACCGACACCAGGCCCGCTCATTCTCGACCCCCCATGTTTTCTCCCCACGTCCCCCCATGTTTTCTTTTCACTTTGGGGGTGTGTGGGGGTGGGGCTACAATGAGGAGGGATCTGGGAGGTGAGTTGATTGGAGAGAACAGTGGCGCCACCTACAGAGTGTCTCTCGCCTAGGAGAGAGCAGCGTCCCCTCACTCAGTAAGCCATGAAAAAACAGCAGCATCAGCCCTGAGAGAGGCAGCGGGTCGTTGGAGGGTGGTCGGGAGCAGAGCTCAGACCCGGCCGGGCACCGACTGCTTCATTCCTCGTCGTCGTGGTGGCTCTCGTGCCTTGAGAATCCGGGAAAAGTCAGGGATCCCTCCAGAAAGATGGTGATAAGTGTTCTCATGTAGTTTTAGGGGCACGTGCTGTGTCTCAGCTCCATCCACGAGCCACTGCCCGGCCCCTGCCCCAAACCACTGGCCTCCTGTGACCTCAGGGCCGGAGGCTCCAGAGTCCCTCAGCTGTGTATTTCGGTGGGGGTTCCGGGAGTGCTTTCAGAAAAGGGAGTCAGGGCCGTCTGTAGATTTTGCCGAACTTCTGATAGGAAGAGAGAAATGACAGGCATCAAAACTAAGTGGTTTTGCTGGCACACGATTGAGTAGTTTCGCGTTCCTTTGGAAGTGTTGTCGAATGTTCTGTGTATACCAAAACGTTTTCTTTTTCATTCTGTGTTACGCTCTCGTCATAAAATGGCGAGGGTTGGCCGGTAGGTGGGTTCACGCTGTGTCCCTCACTGGCCGGGGATGTGAGCACGTGTGGTCAGAGGCTCTCCGGATCTGTGTCACTCTGTGAATCGCTGTGGGGGGCACGTGGATCTTCCAGTCTGCGTTCATTCCCAGCAGCAAAGCCGAGTGCTGTAACGTTTTCTGCTGAGTAAGGAAGAAATACAATGTCTCTCCTGCCCTCGTTCTTCCCCAAAAGAAAAAAACTAAAGGAAATCGAGGACCAATGCAGACAGCCTCAAGAAGTTTCTCTCACTCATTATATGCGTGTTTGCCTGAGAGGGAATTTTACGTTGATGATGAAAACATTTACTGAGTCACCTTAAATGAGAAAGCTTTTAACATTGTAAAAAATACTCAAATGGTCGAAACAAAACTCTGGGTAACTATGGAAGTTTTTTTCTTTAAAGTAACTCCTGAGGCCCCTGGCTGGCTCAGTCCATGGAGCATATGACTCTTGATCTCGGAGTTGTGAGTTGGAGCCCTGCGTGGGGTGTATAGGTTACTTTAAAATTTAAAAAAAAAAAAAAAAAAAAAGTAACTCCTAATAAAAGGTTTGTTCAGTTGGGCTTATTTTTTGAAGTTAGAATCATTTTGTTTGTAGTTCCTATTTTGAAATGAGAATATAATAAAAACATATTTTTGTTACCCCACGGCTCAAACACTTAACTCATGTGCTTTTTTTTTCTTCCATGTTGGTTCTTCTCTAGAAAACAGATTTTTCCTATCAGCCTGGAGATGCCTTCAACGTGATCTGTCCCAACAGTGATTCTGAGGTTCAACACCTACTCCAAAGACTGCGGCTCACAGACAGAAGAGAGCACTGTGTCGTCTTGAAAATTAAGGGTGACACAAAGAAGAAAGGTACAGCCCCGATCTGTTATTTCTTCAGGTGTCATTGGACCAACGCATGGGAGGTGACCAGTGCAAGGCCCTCCTTCCCCAACCCTGTGTGATGGCTGCACAGGTGGCCTGAGGCCTGGCGCCCCATCAGTGGGTGGGACACGGGCACGTGCTGGCCTGCCAGTTTCTTAACTTTTACACCCATCACACGGGGTGGGATGATCATGCATTTTCTGCTTACTGGGACACTGCTGGACAGGACACGTGAGTGTAACCGAGTCTGTTCGTTGGCTTTCTGCCCTTAGCATTATTTTGTTGTGGAGTTCTACGAGAGTTGTCCTACAGTAAACTTTTATTATATGGACCTTTTTAAGGTTTTCTTATAATGTGTATTTGTCATAGCATATTTATTGCTTATTTAGTATATAAAAATAGTTTTCCATAATTAAGGGGCATTATGTGTTTTTTCAGTTGTTTGCCTAGAATCTTGAACTGGAGTTTCATCAATTCTAAAATTCTTTTTGAGAAGAATATGCATTGTTAATGGACAAGAGCCATATTTTGGTTTTTGGTTTTGGTTGTTTTTTTTGTTTGTTTGTTTTGGTCCTTGGCTTTGGATAATTTCCTTCTTGTTTGGTATACCTAGATTTGGTAGGTGTGGCTAATAATACTATTGAATTTATAATTCTTTTATTTATTTATTTTTGCAAAGTGGATTTTTTTTCCCTGTAAACATTTTGGGAAAATTTTTTGACTGGATAAACATTGCCACAAATCCTATTGTACCTTGCTAGCACGGTAACGTAAAGAATACAGGTAATTGTGTTTTTAAGGATGCAAAAACATTCTATTCTTTATTTTTTGTGTCATGAACTCTTTCCTGTGTGCCTGAAAAGGAGCAGCCTTACCCCAGCACATCCCTGAGGGACGCTCTCTCCAGTTCATTCTCACCTGGTGCCTTGAAATAAGAGCAGTTCCTAAGAAGGTACTTCTCTTTGGGTGACTGTTTGCAAGTATACTTAGCTCTGTGTATCTGCCCTTTGAAGGCTTAGAAGATACGGCGTTCAGGGCATCTTTTCAAGAGTTTCCAAGCGTGTATGGTATTTGTCATGGACAAATATTTTTGGGGTTGTGCTTATATTGAAATTTTGTGTTTTCTGTTGAAATGACATTTTTCTTATTCTTACCAGCCGTTAACTTGATGTGACACGTTAATCAGCGATTAAGGTGACCCCAGATGACCTTGTGTTCTACTGCACAGGGACACCTTTTCTAATTGATGACAGGAAGCTTATGAGGGTGCAGTCCTGTTTAATGTTGGGGTCTCTTCTGGGTGAAAGCACACAGTCACCTACTGTTAAATCAGAATTAAAGGATTCGGGTAGGTTACGGATGTCTAGATGAATGTGCAGAGAGAATGATCCACTAGGTGTCAGTAGGGTGCCGGGAGCTGCGTTTCGAAGATGATCGCACCTGATTTCTTCCAACCGCGTCCCTACACAGATCCAAATGGGGAAACTTTGCCGGCCGCACTTTGCCAGTGAGCATGGGTGGTGCCTCCATCAGGGTGCCCTCCACAATGCCATTTCTGCTCTCTGTCGTATTCGTCGTTTGTTGCATGCAGCCTTTGGGAAGCAAACTCCTTTAGAGAGAGGCTCAGCCCTGGATGTAATTTGAGTACATTTAGAATTCACTGTGATGAGAACTTCCTGATTAAACACAGTACGTTTCACAATTTAGTTCAGCTCTACCTTTCCATACAGCGAATATACATAAACATATTTTTCCTTACTATAAAAGTAACATTCTCACTGTAAAAATTCTGGACACAAAAATGAGTAACTCAGGAGCTCGTGTACCCCAGCGTGGGAAGGTATCCTGCCTGCGACCCGTGCAGAGAAGTGGGGTGCTCGTTCACCTCACATGGTTTCCGAGTGCTCGGTGTGTGTTTGGCCCTGTGCCTGGCATCGTGAAGAAGGCTTGCAGGGTGTTAGTCCCAGGATAGTTCAGGCAGGGCTCCTGAGCTGAGCCACTGGAAACCCGTGACCCCTCACGAGAGGAGGGACCTCGTCCTTCCTGTTGGGGGGTCCAGGGCACGAGGTGCTTGAGCCATGGGGTGACAAGTAGGAGTGTCTGTTAGCATCTCATTTAGCACTGGAAACAGAGGACTCGCTTACTTGCTTTGTCCCTAAAGAACCCTGGAGTGGTGACAGCTGTATGTGCCATTTAACGGGTGTATGTCCTTAAGAACCATCTATATGTATGTCATGGTCCGAATACGTGGAAACCGGAAGTCGTCACTAGCAAGTTTGGTCTTTTGTCCGAGAGTTTGGACTTGGCTCTTTGAGGCTTGGGATTCAGGATGTCATTGCTTGGCTTTCTTCGTTTCTGTTCTCCTCCTCTTTCTGCAGTGAGTCTGAGGTGACTCAGAGAGTCCGTGTGCAGGAGGCTTCTCGATGCTCTGGCCCTGCCTGTCTTTGCAGCCTTTGTCCTGCGCCCCCATTTCCCTGCGTGCTAGTGAACACGGCATGGCCCCGGAGAGCATGCTTTTGCCGGCCGCCTGTGCCTTTGCGGAACTGCTGGCCGCTTCGCCCTCCTGACCGTCTCTTCCACGGGGCCAGCTGTCGGCCCAGGCTTGCGTTCCGGGACACCCTGGCTGCCGAAGCCCCTATCGGGGTAGTTGGCCTCCTGAGCTCTCTCACGAGCTGGGAACCCTTAGGGCAGAGCAGGGGTCGTGCCCAGTGCCTCTTGTATAAGGGACTTACCGGTTAGCAGATGAGAGAAGTCTAGCTTGTGGTCATCGGCTAAGACAAGAACAGGTATTTTGTCTCGAGTTAAAATGAGGAGTTAACGAGACTCCTGATCACTGTTACTCGAGTACACCAGACGTGACATCTGAGGTCGAACTTGGGACTGAATCCCATTGGTTTGGGAAACAGGAAAGGTGACCGAAAGTAGAACGTGGGAGGGCACTTTCTTGAGCAGGCTGAATGAAAGCACATAGGTGCCAGCCAAGTTCTCTCTCCTGATCGCACACCTAGGTGCGTGACCGGGCGCGTCCCCGGGTGACCAGGCGCGTCCCCGGGTACGTACTGACGGAAGATTCGCGCAGCCTGGCCCCACGTGGTACTTTCAGCCTGCTTCCTCTTCTGGCCGCAGGCGATGCTGAGAGCCCTGGCGGAACACGCGGCCGGCCCAGACAGGCGCAGGCTGCATGAGCTGTGCAGCAGGCAGGGCGCCGCCGACTACAGCCGCTTCGTGCGGGACGCCCACACCGGGCTGCTGGACCTCCTGCTGGCTTTCCCATCCTGCCAGCCTCCGCTGGCGCTCCTGCTCGGTGAGTGCTCCTGGCCCTGCACCCCAGGGGCCCTCCGGTGTGTGCTCCCCGGCCCTGTGCCCCAGGGGCCCTCCCATCAGTGCTCCCCACCCCTGCGCCAAGGGCCCTCCCGTGAGTGCTCCCGGCCCTGCGCCCCAGGGGCCCTCCTGTGAGTGCTCCCAGCCCTGAGCCCCAGGGGCCCTCCCGTGAGTGCTCCCCGGCCCTGCGCCCCAGGGGCCATCCCGAGAGTGCTCCCCGGCCCTCCGCCGCAGGGGCCCTCCCATGAGTGCTCCCCACCCCTGCGCCAAGGGCCCTCCCGTGAGTGCTCCCGGCCCTGCGCCCCAGGGGCCCTCCCGTCTGTCTGGCAGGTGGCAGGTGGGAGCGCGTCTCTGGGAGGGAGCCTCTGTGTCGGGGTCTTCCTGGAAGTGGGAAGAACCCCACTGCCACAATGTTTATTTCCTTACTCCGTCCTTCTGCCATCATCACAATCGTCTGAGCTTCCTTGCAGCCAGTGGTCATTCTCCTTCTTTGGATTGGCCTTCAGCATCTTTTCTATTCATTCAGCTATGGTTTGGAAAGTTTTTTTGGTCAGATTTTACCGAAAAAGGAGTTTCCCGAAGGAAACCAGGTTTTTCAAAGCTGATAGGCATCAGGTGTACGTGACAGAGGTTAAGGAGGTGGGTGCTCTCTGTGCAGAACACAGAGGTGTCGCCGCTGGGCACGTCCAGTTCAGGGCGCTCCCAGGGCAGCAGGGGCCCCCCGTGTCGTACCGGCACGTGCCGCCTCGTGCAGGGAGCCTCCGGGCTTGAGGCTTGGGTGAACTAGCCACAAAATGTCCAAATGTAGGATTACCTTGATTTTCATCCACACTGTCTCTTGGGGTCTTTGTTCCAACAGAAGAGAGAAGACCTCCCTGAGGAACTGTGTGTCAGGGAGGGACTTTCTGCAGCCTCCGTGGGGACCACAGACGTTTAGCAGGGATGGTGACGGAGAAGTGTGCAGGAGTCTTAGATGCGTAGTACTTTCCTGTGCTTGTAGTTTTGTCCTCTCCTAGCTGTTTTCCTCTGCTGATAACTAGTAAAACCTTCAGAATTGCATTATCTTTGGTTCCAGGAAAACGTATATCCTGCTTCTCACTGTTAGGCCGCAAGGTGCCCCACTGTCCCGCAGAATTAGCTGTGTGCTCCTCTATAAGTCAGTTCCTGCTTTATTTCCCTTCTTCTTTTTTTAAGTTTATTTATTTTGAGGGAGAGAGAATACATGTGCATGAGTGGCGAGCAGGGCAAGGGCAGAGATAGAGAGAGAGAGAGAGAGAGAGAGAGAGAGAATCCCAAGCAGACTCCACACCCAGCGTGGAGCCCGATGCGGGGCACAGTTTTACGAACCGTGAGATCATGACCTGAGCGGAAATCAAGAGTCGGACATTCAACTGACTGAACCCCCCAGGCGCCTTTTTCCCTTTTTCTTAGTACTCCTTTTCCTTGTGCTCAAAACGGTGAAGTTTCTGAGCGAGGCAGCTCCTCCCACTTCCCCGTATTCAAAGGGACGCTCCTCCCCTTCCCAGTGGAGTCTGTGGAGGGAGAACGGGGGTTGGGAGAATAACCAGAACATGTGTAGACAAACTGTAAGAACTCTTGTAAAGCTCCCCAGCATATGAGAATAGGTTTCTGTTCTTTTCACCGATTTGCTGTCTTTTAATTTTGTATAGCATTTATGTAAAAAATGAGTAAAGGCATTGAGGCTTAAAAAATTAGATTATTGGGGCGCCTGGGTGGCTCAGTCGGTTGAGTGTCCGACTTCGGCTCAGGTCATGATCTCACAGTTGGTGAGTTCGAGCCCCGCATCGGGCTCTGTGCTGACAGCTCAGAGCCCGGAGCCTGCTTCGGATTCTGTGTCTCCCTCTGTCTCTGCCCCTCCCCCGTTCAGGCTCTGTCTCTCTCTGTCTCAAAAATGAATAAACATTAAAAAATTATTTTCCAGCTTCTTTAAAGAAATTGAATGTATCTAAAGCTTATATTATGTTGAGCCCTTTTTAAGCCTTATTCTGTTATTAAATTTTAGAACAGGTCTTTCCCAGTTTTTACTGGAGAACTCCTAAACGTATAACGTTGAACACAAAAAGTTTCAGAGTTTGTTAGTGGACAGTTAGGTATTCAAGTAGTGAATCTTTTTTTTTTTTTTTTTT